GAAATCGGATCAACATGTATGTCGTACGAATAATTCGAACGTAGAAGCGTGCTTCATTTTTGGACGGATATGTTGAAATTCGTTATTCCTGCAAATATTTATCGTGCGCTTTCACACCCGATCGCGCGAACGAGCGCATTTATATAGATCAAAGACATAAATTCCGAGAATACGTCACGTAGGATCGTTAAAATAGTAATCGTGTACGAATGGGGCGCGTGTATCGAGAATTTCCGACTATTCGATAGAATTTACAAATTGCTTAATAAAAATTGATTACGGTGGATTCCTACTATTATACGTCATTTTAATTTTTTGTTTACGCCATTAAGGGAAACAAATCGCTTCTCCGGCCGAGGGTCATAGAAATTCGACATAAATTTCCGTTAGCATTGCAAACGCGCCCGAATGCCCCAAGCTTTAACGATCGCGGCGCGCTGCTATTTATTAGAATTTGTTGCTCTTTGTGTCCAGTTTTTAACAGAATTATTACGTCGCTAAGTAACATTTATGCTGTTCAATTTATACCTCGGATTTACGTGTATTTTTATATACGCTCGATGACGAGCATTAAACCGCGAATAGCGCGAAAATATTTCAACCATAATGGCCATTTTACATTCCGAACGGAACTTTTCACGCGTTCGAAATAAGTTTTAACGATATCGGGACGTAATCAACAGGTGTGACGATAGAATAGATCCGATGGTTAAAATTAATCCGACTCCTAACCCATAATTTATTATCGTTACGCTCTGAACTTTTTATGTTCTGAGAATACAATGTTCATAAATATCTAGCGTTGCGAGAATACAGAATATCGTTGCTTTTTTTCTCTTCGATCGTCTGGATGGCTGAAAAATGGCAACGCTGCTGCTGGCCAGGACCTTCATGAACTCCCGAGAACGTAGAAGTGCAGAGTTCGTGTAGTTCGTAGAACGGCCGTTTGTTGACAGCGGTCGAGGTTTGTTTCCACGAAACACGAGAGTTGCCCGTATTTCTATTTTTATCTGCCGTCGCGGCTGACAGGCAGATAAGTCAGTATTTTAGCGTCCCTGCAGACAGTTCAATTCCGTGGCGTGACTCGTTTTGAAAAGCTTCGTGAATCATTTAAGAATTTTATCTTTCAGCAGAGACACGCCGGCTGATTTATTCGAAACGACTCGCGGTCGTTAGATTCGATCGAAGAAAAATTTATTAACTTTATTTTCTTATTACTTTAGATTTTTCAAACTTCCGAACCAGAGTGCCCCTTTAATCCCCGGTCAGAGGTTAGGTTAGCTTTAATGGTTTCTAAAGTATGCCCACTTACGGGCTGTATTTAGATAAACGTAATAACGTATCAGAATTGGTTCAATTACATTTCGTTTACCTTACACTCGTTCCGGCTGACAGGATTAAACTAGTTCAATCACGAGCTAGTTTACACCGAGCGTTTGATACGCGTACCCAAGTAAGTACTTGATTCGCATCAAACGCTCGGGTGTAAATGATGGCGCGTCGAGTTGGCGCGATGCATCTGAAGAATGTGTATCGAACCAAAATAATACGCTTATCAAACGCCTTTGTAACGCAGTAAACACTCGTGCAGTTTACGAAGGGCTGAATTAAGGTTAGGTTGTTCGGCACGAGTCTCTGCACCAGCGTCGACAACTTTTTTTTTCAAAACTTTATCGTAAATGTATTTATATTTATCATCCAGTAATATAAAAGGAAGTGAATTTTTCTAAATACAAAAAGAAATTCTGCTTTCCAACAACGAACGTAAATTTTACGAATTTACGAACGGTAAAATTTCGATCGCGTTATTTGCAAATAAAATTTGTTCAACTCCGCGGATACGAATGAATATCGTTGTCTGTTTTACCGGCAAAGTCCACCGGGGCCCATTGTTTATCGCGATAGTGATTTCCCGCGCTTACACGTTATCGGGCGTAATCCGTGCGGTGCGTTAATCATCGATTACGAGCTTAAAACCCGCATCATGCACTGTTTTGCGTGTCCCCGTGATTTTACTCGCGAGCGGTAATATCGGCGGCCTCTCAGTCATTCGTGGAAATGAAAATCACATCTGGTGTTAAAACCGTTGCGTGGAAACGACGCGACTCGATATAATTGGTGGAGATCGACGGCCCTCCACCAATCATCATCGAAAACTGACTCATCCAGGAATTATTCCCTTTTAGCCGGTCGAACAATTTCCTGTTACACGCACGCTTCCTCCCCCTCCCCCCGTAACGTCGAGTCGTCTGCGTTCGAATGGCTTCCATGTAACTTCGATACTCGAAATTTAATACCTCCGACCGGGCGTGTGGCTCTATTCGCGAACGATCGTTGACGTGAAATTACGTTTTTAAATATCGGGTTCCGGGAGCTGCCGCGGCAGCGACGGAGGGCGGCCTCTTCTAATTGTAAGTGGAGACTTTGCTTTTTACTTCGTATTGGCGCTACGTGTCTTATCTTCGTCCTCTATACTCCGTGGAAGTGGTGTTTCAACGGGACCTACATTCTCACGCGCCCCCCATCGAGAACAACGTCAGCTATCTTTAATTTCTCTGCTCTACGACCCGTTTATCCGTACCACCGGTGTTCCGTGACTAAAATTAACAATCGCGTTACATCTATATTTTCCCAACTAATATTCCAAACTAACGTTCCTTAACTCCCGATCTGTCCTAAGAATAAAATATCTTCGTCCCGTTTCGTTTTCTTAAATTAAAATCGCCGTGCGTCGTTGACCTTAATTTTCGAGGTTACGGTGTAAAACTTCCGGCACAGATGCCGCCATATTTTCCTGTTAATCCTTTCGCGGTTGAAAACGAGCATCACGGTTTCACCGTGCGTATAATGTATCACAAAACGCGTGTCCTTGACGTGTATTAGAACAATTTGTTGCCACGGCGTGCATTAATCACGCCCCGTTGACGGATTTTATTACTGTTAGAAATATTACCGGTTCCAGATTATAACGCTGCGCCGTGAACGCGGAAAAACAACATCGATTGCCATTCCGGCTGGATCGAATGCAATTGAATTAAACGATAGCTGTTTTCAAACTAAGTGCTACTCGTAAAATCCCCCGCGATATAAATATTCAAACGCTGTCCAGGCATTTGAGAGGGGGGGGGGAAAAATGAAACAATTTATGACGACAATATTGCGTTGGATAATTCTTTGCGCAGGTATATTGTTTTGCCAAACCCATCGAATTTCATTGTCGGTCGTTAACACTAGATTGCCCAAGGAAGTCATTTTGACTGCTTTTTAATTTCAATTGGAAAAACAATTGTGTATGTAATGACACAATTTTTTAGAATTTTGTGACTTTTTGTGCAACATATAAATGCGTTCATTAATAATTGTAGTTACTTTCCTTCATTTCCGATGTATATATATATATATATAAGAGTCATTTGATTATTTAAAATTAATAATAAGATAATAACATTAATTAATAAAATTAATAATAATAATATATAGTATATACCGGAAATGAAGAAGGGGGGAGGTTACTACATTATTAATAAACGCATTTATCTATACTATTATATAAAGAGAGAGCCGATTTTTATGTTTGCGCAAAACTCAGGACCTATTGAACCGATCTTCCTCAAATTTTGACACGTTATTCCTGCATACTCTAGGACGGACATAGGCTATGTAGCATGTCTCAGAAGCGCGTTATTAACATGTAATTTCTATGCAAAGATTTCATGTGTACGACTGTTTGGCAGACCACGTTTTTCTAGTGTTAAACTGTACAAGTAATGAACCCTAGACATGATTCGTAAATTGAACATTTCTATCTCTTTACAAGTGAAGAGGGGAGGATAAATTTAATAAATTCCAATCGTTTCATGCGTACAATTTTCAACGACCAAAATCACCGTGCGAAGGAATTAACAAGGAACATTTTTCACAGGTGTTCGTAGCACGACCAGCATCAGCACAGCAGCAGCAGCGTACCGCGGCGCACACACACAGAAACACACACAGAAACACACACACACACACACACACGTGCACACGTGCCGAGGAAATGAATGGACGCGGTAACCACGAGAGCGTCCCATCCAGAAGGAACTGCACGGACTGATTCGAGGCATTAAATGTACCCCCAGGAATTCAGGTTTCGCCCGAGGCTCCCGCGAATCTGGGATGGCTTCGAGCAATGATGACATCGGATTAAGGCTGGCCGGCAAGAAGCACAGCGACGACGTTGTTTCATCGTCCGTGAAAGTAGATAGGTTTTGAATCGAGTCTCCCTGTAGAGGACCGAGGGAAACACAGTAACGCCGTTACCGCGGGCGAAAATAATCCGAGGCTTATCGAATCCCGATGATATAATGGAAGTGCACGAGGTGAGGCGGTAATAGTGCTCATCTCTACCAACCTCCGTGTTTCTATCGCGGAGGACAACCGACTAGAGAAAATCAGGCGCCACGGGGGGGTGTCTGAAACAACGGGGGACCCCGTGTGTGTGTGTGTGTGCACCGCGATCCACGCCAGCGGAAAAGAGGACCCTTTTTTACCCATTTACCTCGAAGGTACCGCGAAAATGTAGACGCGGTATTCGTAACGTTTCCAGCACAGCTGCAGAGGTATAAATCGAGCCACGAGGAGGAACCGTCCCCCCAAAGATCAGGCCAGTGATACCGAAAGGGAGATGCAACAGATGCCGATGATAAGCGCGACCGGCCCGCAACGGGGATCCACGGCGAACGTAGACAGTCGCCCCCGCCCCCGCGATCTCGTTCAGTAACGTAATATTCTGTCCCGGAACGCCCGTGACACCCGCTCTCCAGGCTGAAGGACGTGCTCAGGGGCCGAGGAAACCGGAGATCCCATTCGAGGCGGATAACGCGCCGCGCGTCCTCCGCAAGTGTCCTTACGCCGAGCACCGTATTTCGTCGTCGTGTGTCCGCGGTTATGGAATGAACCGATGCCCGGCTGAACCTACCGGCTCTCCTACGTGGTTCAGGTTCCACCGGCGCGCCTCGTCATGACCCCGACGATGCGTCTACTCCCGTCGACGCTACTGCTGCTGGCACTGTCCTGCTCGCGGCCTTGCACCGCGAGCGGCGGCGACGGCGGACCCAACAGCCCGGTGTTCAACCTGGACAACACCGCGCTCGAGAAGAACCTGGCGGCGATATTCATCAAGGTGGCGCACAACTCGGCGACGACGAAACGAAGCGTGCCCGCCTACGATGCCCAGGTATCGGCCAGCACCACGCTGTCGACGGTGCCCTCGTCGTTGACCACCACCACCACCACGATGGCCACCAGCCCGTCGATGCCCCCCGCTAGGTATCCCGTTCCACGGGCCACCGTGTCGCCCGCCTTTCGCGAATTGCCCTCCTACGCTCCCCCGTCCCGCGCCCTCTTCACGCCGCCGTTGCCGCCCGAGTATCTTCATCCGTTCGCGAACAAGCCGACCCTCAGGGGCACGAACTCCGACGCTCATTCGGGCCTGAAGCGACCGGTGCCGCCACCTAGCGGCACGCCCGCCCACGAACGTATACCCATCAGGCCCCCGGACCTACAGGGACCCTCTCAGCTCCCGGAGAGACATTCTCATTCGAGGAACAAGCCGCTCAATACGCCCAGCAAGGAACAGAACGCGGTGGAGTCCAGCGAGCTGGACAGGCGGAACAACACCAACGAGTTCGTGCCCACTTTGCACTACCCGAGCATCTCGAGGATACTGTCGGGCAGCAACGGGCGCAAACAGGACATACCCGAGATACTCTTGAAACCGCTGCCCACGAAAATACCGCCGCAGAACGCGCCGGTGGCGCCCACCACCGAGAAGATGACCACGCTCTCCACCACCACCGCGCGACCCTCCAGCCAGCTGGACTCCTCTAAATCCGTCACCCAGCCGACGATCTTCAATCTGCCCAACACGAGGCGGCACGACGACGACGGCTACCACGGTCTGCGCAACGAGAACGGCTACAAGACCGAGAACATCGAGATCGTGGACACGGAGAGGCTGCCCTATCCGCAGCCCCAGCCGCCGGCGCCGCCACCCAAGAAGAGGCCCAACGGGCCCGACGACGATCGCGTCGTGCCGCAGGTCGACACGCACTCCCTCGAGTCCACCTGGCGGATCGCCTGCTCCCTCCACGTCTACGTAGCCGCGATCATGTTCACGCTTATGGCCCTATACTCGATCTACAAGATCGTGCGTTTCAACGAGGCAACGAATCTACTGACGCAGTCGTACTTCCTGGCGATCCACCTGCTGCTCACCACCGTCTGTACCCTGAGGTGCTTTCACCTCTTCTACGATGCTTATAACCTAGGCCACTCGCTGCCGGAACCTCTGTCCCGGGTGCTGATGTACCTGCCAGCCCCGTTGCTGTCCACAGCGTTCGCTACTTTGGTGCTGTACCTTGCACGGTGCTCGGAGGCGCCTGCTCTGAACAACAGGTTCGTTAGAATTGTATACCTTTTCATTGACCAGTCATAGATCAGGGCTTTGAAGGGTACAGTGGCGCTGTTCAGTTCGTCATCTATCCTCTAAAATAAGCTGTCCCTGCCGTCCATCTTTGAAACATATTCTCATTGTACCTTTGATCCCTCAACAGGTTCCTCTCGCCAGCCACTTTGGTGATGTCCTCGACGGTGCACGCGGTTCTCTGCGTCTCGTTGCACGTGTCCACACACGTGCTCGGCTACCAGGACGAGGCGAAGATACTGCCGCTGATCTGCCAGTGCATCTACATCATCGTGTGCGTCACCCTGGGCCTGAGCTACATGTACGTGTACCGAGTGGTGCGCTCGCAGATCCACTTGGCCACCAACAAGGCGGCAGGCGCTAATCACATAGTGGGCGCGGATCCTACCACGATGGCGTTGAACACCGCCATCACCACCAGCATCGCCACGGCGTTGTTCTTCATCCTGATGGGATTCGTCCAGCTGTACGGGATCTTCGGTAACGTCCAGGAACGGCCACAGTCTTATCCATGGCTCTGGTGGGGCTGGCAGTTCTCTGTCAGGCTGCTGGAGCTTGCAGTATGCGGTCTTCTCGCCTGGGTGGCCAGCCTGTCCCAGTACCCGTTACGGGAGAAGCAGATGCAACAGCACCCGGTGCACTCCGGTTTCGCTCTGTTTCCCTGCGGTAGCTCGACCTCCACCGAGAATATGGACGACGTGCTTTACCCAGCTATCTGCAGCACCAACCAGGCGATTCAGAATTACACGATGAGAACGGGGAAACAGGTTTACGACGATAGCTTCCCGCTGAACACGCTACCCGAGCATTTGAACATATCAGGTATCGGCCTACGCCGGGCTCCGATCGACCGTTACGACCTAAATCACCCTTTGCGCTCGTACGCGGTTCGCGATAGCTGTTGCTGCGTCTTCCTCATGTTGTTTTAGTTCATTCCCTTTTTGTAATAACGTTTCTTGATCCACTGGTTGAAATGTAGCGAGGCTAACTATATTTTACTAGAAACTATAACCACTTCCAAACTTTTGGATAGTACTGTACGCGTTATCTCGTTGAGAGTGTCTATTTCACGAGTTTTCCTCCCACCTTGAACCCTTCCAGATCACTGTTTGTGACCAAAAACTAATAACAACATGTACTCTTAAAGTCCATCGTTAGTTCAAGCATTTCAAGCACTATCACTCTGCAAATGCCAATTAAAAAGCGAGCTTTGTACTTAGATATGTCTCCTTGTTAAAAGCACGCTGCAGTTTAATCCTTGAGCACATTTAGTATTATGAGTAGGCGCTCGGGGTTCTTGAAAATTTCTTTTCCGTTAATTATGAATGAGCACCAAAATAATTTTGTCGTATCTTTGCCATGCAAGTAGTGCGTTTAATTGCTTTTAGTCTTAATTAAAAGATAGCCAAAAGTAAATCTGGTTAGTGATTCATAATAAAATTAATAATAGTATAAATTATTTTTTTTTTTTAAGGTCATTTTGTGGAGAATCAGTGGTTGCACAATTGCACTCGGGAGAGCTTGGAAGTTCTGTAAAATGTTTCCTGACACATTACTCTTATCTGCGACCTTGCGGAATATAAAACAGTAAATTAGGTCGCGGGCGGTACAATGTGCTGTACCAGACACCGTGTCGCGCGCATTAAAGGGACAAATATGGCACGGAATGGCACAATGATTATTTCATTCGGGTCAATTGTCTTTTAGTTTTTTAAAAAACCACCTTTCATCGAGATGTTCACTTTGCACTACTTTAAAAAAAAAGCTTGGGAACTCCTTTAAACTATTTTCACAAAGCGTGTCACTCTTGTCCGCGACCTTGCAGAACGTAAAATGGCAAATCAGGTCACATTAAACAATGTGCTGTTCCAGAGGCCGGGTCTCGAGAGCTGTTCAGAGCTCTCGGTTCTTACATACCTTTTTCCCCCTAATCGACGTATCACTGGTCCATAAATGTTTTCAGAAGCCATTCTCTTAAATAATAAATCTATTATATAACGATAAATAAATAACAACACGTTAGTTTACACTTAAAATTTTCATTCGTGGCGCCCTCTTGAATCGCGTGACGTTCTGGGGAAGAGGGAGTCTGGGAAGCACTGGGTCTAACCCAGAACATCGATTTTTCTTTCTTTCAACCAGCAGTTGGGAATTTCCAGAACAAAGTAATAGATGTTTTTACGACGGCTCGGCTTTTATTGGTTTAGGTTCTCGTTAAATACATAAAACAACTCTTTATACGAAAGTTAAGAAAGTTTTATTAGGAAAACACAAGGTACATAACGGAGAACACAATTACTATAAAGTCTGTAAATATTGCTGTTGAAAAGATAAGTAACTTTCCATTCATTTCTTTTTTTTTCCTAAATATACTATCAACATGTTGGTTGCATTGTAATGTTTTAAACAAAAATGAGGTTTTCTGCTCATCGTTCAAAGAGACACGTTTCCTCTATTTACACGTTACCTAAGTGGAAAGTGAAACGAGATTATCTCGGGCGGTTTTGTGCGTCGAAGCTCTCGCATGAATTTTTCATATCCCAGCGATACCAAAACTGATGATTATTTAACATTCTCCTTTGTAATACATACACGTTGTCCTAACGAAACAAAAGATTTTCCAAAATTAGTGTTACCTTCGCTGAGAATTTTGTATCGTATTTACTATACTGTGTTTCATAGTTTCCCACGTAACAAAAGCGCGTGACATTGTCCTCGGTGGGTTCCCCCTATCGTCGTCCCGTGTAATTATCCCTCGGAGGAACGCGGAGTTAGGTCTGGGTTACTTACGCTCGCCTAAACGAGACACAGCGCCCCGCGAACCGCGTACGAGAAATAATAACGAAGAAAAGAGAAGCGAATTGTTTTTTTTTTCACCGTGGACAAAAGGGTTTACGGTATGCTAAATATCGTGTCGTTGTTGCAGGTACCTTCGAGAGACATTCCATTCGCAAGTCGGGCACCATGGGCCATTTCCCGCACGAAGGTCGCGGCTCGTTAAACCGGCACGGTAATGGTATACAAACTCTGAGGAACTCCGAAAGTCGGGGTCGACACACGCCGGTGCAGGGACTGCACGAGCAAACCCCGACCACAGGCTCGACGATGCTGGTGGCGGAGGACGGTTTCGTCAGGTTCCGCAGCCTGGGCGCGGAGGACGACGAGCTGTCGGACACGCCTAGCGTGGTTGGCACCCATGGCAGAGGCAGCTCGCTGGCCGGCAGCGTACGATTCAACGCCAGACACCCGACCCTCCAGCACCAGCACCAGCATCAACATCAGCATCCCCATCAGCATCCCCATCCCCATCAGCATCAGCTTCAGCATCAACACTCGCTTCAACATCCACATCCCAGTCAGCATCAGGCTCACCATCAGCTGTACAACAACACGTAAAGTCACGTTGTACGGCACCGCGTATCAGACGATAGAAATTTGTTCCCTGTTGACTCGGTGAGTCCACGCGATCTGGATGAAAATTGTTGATCGCCATTGGGAGAAAAAAGATTTACATTTTATTTGGGTTTGCTGGGAATTTTGTCACTGGCGGGAAAATTACTAGTTTAACACTTTGACTGCCACGTCATCCATATATATATATAGAGCTTCGACATTCGACACCAGCAGATGTTTATACACGGCGACGTCATTAGCCTCGAAGTCGCCTGAGTTTTTTTTGTCCAGATGACCGTTGGTCGACAATCGAAGAGAAGGACATTGTCTTAAGGTCGTGATTCCATCGAGGCAACCATTGTAATATAGGATTAGGTTTTTCACCTTTATCACGAACCATCTCGTGACACAATACCAACGAATGTACAATTATTTAACTCTATATAGAGCATCATAGAGAATAGAATAAGTATCAAACGTTTCTCGAGAAGCTAGAACTCCCTTGTTGTTCATAGTGGGTGATGCAAATGCGACATGTTGCCTCGTTGGAATCACGCCTTTACGTACAGACCGTCTCCGTCACCCCATTCCACATTGTTTTTTTAGACGTCGTCTTTCACGCTTCACTGGGCTCCAATGGGGATCCCCCCTCGGTTGGAGTTCTGTCTCGAAATGAAAAAACATTAGATTCCTTAACGTGCAGTTGGTTCCTCCACACTTTGACTGTCACGTTGCCCATATATGGGTGACAGGATTTTTACCATTATGATACTAGAAAAATTAATTCTCAAGTTGAGACGTTGAGGGAAATAAATTTGGATAGGATTTGTAAATTACAACAAGTAAATTATTGAATATTGTACGGTATCGATGTGGCAGTGAACGTGTTAACGTAGATGGTTAATCGTGTTTTTCTGATCGTCGATCGTTGGTTTGTTCGCAGATGCTCGTCACGATCGTCAACGAAATAATAGGATGTTCCAGGGCTGTCGCGACCACGGTCTAAAACTCGAAGAACTAATTTTATCTTATGCTAATGTAAGATACGTCCTTGTGTATAAATACCTAATTGCCATTCGCATTTTCCTGCTTCGCAATCCGCGTCCGAGCCGACGAACCATTAGCCCGTAAATGGCATCGATATTTATTTGACGTTCTCGATTAAGCGAAGAATAAAGAAGTGGAATACGAGTGGAAGAAAAAAGTATACGGCGAACTCGCGTCAGAGTTCATTCTACCTGTTACGGTGGGTAGTTCAGGGTATCTACGAATCTTGACCTTATATTAGGCACTTGGTACTTATTAAGGTTCATGTGATTAACGAAACGTTGTATCTCGCGAAGCCTATAGGGACAGACGCTTTCTTTCGTTTTTCCTTTCCCTCGAGTAGCAAGAAAACTCGGCTGTGGAACGTATCGGTACAACACGTGATTTCGGTGAATGGCACGGCGCGTACACTCGATCAGCTCACTGTCATCGTCATCTCGGTACTTTCCCAATCAGCTTCGCCAGCATGGCGAACTTCAGAATGATTCAATGACGCGTACTTTTTGTCACTCTCGTCGAGTTGTCCTAAATACAAGACAAAAGAGAAACAGAAACAGAAACACTGTGCAAATTGAAAGGTGCTCGCGGTGTAATTAATCACTTGTTCGACCGATACACGCGTCTCCTTCCTCGCGATTCCGCGCCCGTACGGCGACGCCACCGTTTCGCGATGGACGCGAGGAAGTATATTTTGTAATGAATAAAAAAGATGAAAAAAAAGTGGAAACTTATTCACGTGGTCCAAAACACACACACACACACACACACACACGACATACGCAACACGCGTTCATGAACACACGTACATGACACTAAAACGAGCGACTAAAAATCTAAAAATCTAAAAATATTTCTTGCGATTCAACGAAACACGTATCGAGCGAGTAGGATTGTGTGATTCTATGCGTGGAGCCAAACGGGAAGGAAGAAGACTAAAAAAAATAAAAAAAGACTACGGGCGTTGTACAGTCGATAATAATTCATCACTCAGTCCAATTGTAAGATTTATTTAGTGGTTAAGGTTTCGATTAAGAATTCCCCTGTTAAATACGTATATTAAGTTACGTCGATGTAGCCAACGCGTGCTACTGTCTTGTTCGCTTGTAGAAACGGATATCAGCGATTTCTGTTCAACGAATCCAACACGCCGAGCGATCAAGCACGTAACGATGTTCCCTCTCCGTGTCGGAGATCACGAAGGATTAAACAACTTCGCACACAGGCCAGCATTAGTTCGTTTCCTATTTTTTTTTTTTTTTTGGTTAATTTACTCGCGTGTACCACACGCTATTTCTGTACGCGTTTCCACCCTCATCCCTCCTCCTACTCCTTCTTTTCACCCCCATACCTGTTCCTAAACCTGAAGGTACAAAAACAGTACTTTCCTACCCTCTTCTCAACTTCGTATATCGAATAATAGATTTAAGCGGTCAAGCGCAGTGTATATGTTTATATGGACATTGTAAATAAGGTATACGGGCTCATCGTGAGTAGATATTATCGTTGCGATAGAATTCGTGCAGATTCTATCGGGCACGCACCCCCCAAGGATTCGCACGTACAAAACAAAATAACGCTCGTTCCGCGCCAGCGTGCGCGCGCAGAGGAGACACGACACGCATGTACACGTACACAGTCGTACAACGTATACACGTACCATCGTTCTCAGTTGTAAATGCAAGACTCGTTTTTAATTTATGCGATCGAAGGAAAAAAAAAATAAAGTTGTATTTATTATGTGAAACATTCCACAGCGAAAGGTGTTCAAGTCCGAATGCGACCGATTTTTTTGTGGGATTTTATTGCAATTTTAGATTAACTAATAGCGCTAAAGAAAGAGGAACAACAAATGTAAATAAAAGCTTTTTTGCGAAACACCTTACATGTTTATCCTTTTATTCTCTTAAACGGCAGTGAATCTCAGACTCGGTTAATTTACAGCAACGTGGACCACTTACACTTGAAAGCGAAGTGACATTCTTTAACGTTTTCTCATGCAAACTTTCCGCATCCGAGTATATCGAGTTATTATTGCATTCAAGTCGAATCCGTATTTAGTACAGTAATTGTCCAAGCGCAAATTTTTAATTTTCCAAGTTTGATACGATCGTGATCGTTCATTTCCTTGCCCATTGTTGAATTCTTAACGTCAATTAGGAAAAACGGAAGAAAGGAACGTATTTGTAGGCGATTGTCCACCGTCGACCGACGTCGCGATGTAAAACAAGCAATCTTGTATAGAAGGTGCAAATATGTCAGGAATAATGTAAATAAAAAGTAATATTTAATAAAACTTATACGTTCAATCTTATTTGTTTCGTGTGCACAATAGCAGTTTCGATAACGAAAGGGTCCATCAGTATGCGTAAAGAATTTCTCGCGAAATAATTTGTCCACCGAACGGGTTGAGATGGCTGACTCACCCTGTGCTCTCCCCACTCCTCCGCCACTAGATTAAAGGCTTGTGTGGCGACTAGTGTGTCTCACTCTCGCGGGGGACCTCGAGGGTGGCGGAACTCCTGCCTTGGTGGGGGTCCACTACTGTCCACTACTGACCAGTGGTGAGCATACGATGATCAATAGTGATCAGTTGCTGACCAGTAGTAAGTCTTGCTTAAATATCCCCCTCTCTCTTATTTTTCTAATTTCAAGCTTGCTAGTTCATTTTTTACTATCGTTTGATGAAAAATTGGGTTTGTTGAATTTATCGGTTTTCGTTTCGTTACTGTGAATGTTTCCCCCATGAGATATTCTATGTCTGAAGCTTGCTCGTTCATTTTTTACTATCGTTTGATGAAAAATTGGGCTTGTTGAATTTATCGGTTTTCGTTTCGTTACTGCGGATGTTTCCACCATTTTTAACATACAATGAGGTATTCTATTGACTGGTTCTTCTATTATTTTGATAATTGTTGCGTTATCTTGACCATATATGACTTTGAAAGAAAATGATTCTCTATGGGGTATTTCCTTCGATAGTTTACTATTTCTGGTTCCAATTCTTTCCTGAACTGGTATCTGTCTTTGGCGATTAATCTGAATTTTTATTTCGATTTTGACTGGTTCTACTATTATTTTGATAATTGTTGCGTTACCTTGACCATATATGACTTTGAAAGAAATGATTCTCTATGGGGTATTTCCTTCGACCCTTTACTATTTCTGTTTCCAATTCTTTCCTGAACTCGTATCTGTCTTTGTCGATTAATCTGAATTTTTATTTCGATTTTGTTTGCGAAATTGCTCTGTCGATTTCACTACTTGTGGTATTAATCGAATCTGGCAATTTCTGGAACTTTGATTCCATCTATGACCCTTCGGGTCTCCACTCGCAGCAACCTCCACGTGGTGGGACCTGGGTAATATTATTTAACGTTTAATTAATAATCGTATCGCTCTCAACTGGGTAATGCAATTATTAATTGAAATCTAAATAATATTAGCAAATTGGCTGCGATCCGCTTTGCATAGATCATCATGAATATAGAGCTTCTTCGCTAGGTTAGTTTCGATTCTCATTGATTCGTCGAAGATTCTAGTGTATTGTTACCGACGAGGTATACGAGTATATTTTTCACCCAATCTATTTCTTCATTTTTATCAAGTCTCGAAACCCCATTACCATTTTTGTGTCATTCATAACGTTACCAACAGATTCAGAAATTAATTTTAATCCCTTCCATAGTCAACCCACATTTACGCAAACGCTACAGCTGTATGCCTATCAATACTAATTCAGTGAATAGTTTCTCAACTGAGCGCCATCCATAAGAAGAAGATGCTAAAATCATCTCTGAATTTTCAGGTCTTTCATGGTCCAATCTGACTGCCATACCGACCTGAAAATTCGAAGGTGATTTTAGCGGCCTCTCATGGACAGTGGTCAGTTGAGAAACTCACTGAATTAGTGTGACAGGCAGTTAGTTCGTGTAAATGCATACCAGTTGAAAAGTACAAATTATTCGCGATTCCTTGCCTAATTAAAGTTGTAAATAATTTGTTAGAAATCAGTCTATCCGCGGTTTCTATCCGAGGCAACGCTCGGGTTCGTAATGCAAGCTTCGTGAGACGTCGGAGCTCCCCCCACCGCGCCGCCTAACTCGCGAGCATTGCCGAGCACGGCGAGCGGCCATCATTCGTACTTTGACGTCGAGACGTACCGGCGCTCCGCGACCGTGGTGCGTATATCTAACCTGTTGATCTTTCCACTCTTACTACTCGCGTTTTAATCACTATCTCTTGCAATACGATTTCGATTCAACCATTGCTTAACTATAATAATCGTTTGTGTACTTTAATGCATCGTTATTTCGTTTCTGTTACAGTCTCTCATTGGAATTCGAAATGAAGAAATAATAAGACTCGTTGAAACCTGTCGAGACGTGTCTGTGTTTCGCGATCAACGAAGTACGTATTTCTAACCTTTTGCTGTTTTCTCATTATAATCGATCATTGTTTAATTATGATTTAATTTGTATTTTATTTCTGTTGCAGTCTCCGATTGAAATTCGACGCCATGGGAAGTTCTATTGGCGCGTAAAGTACACCATAACAGATGGCAGACGAGTCGACATATTTTGAAGGGAATGTTGGTAACAATTGTAACAAAAATTGACATCCAGATTAATATTTATACATTTTTATCACTTTATTACTTCGTTGCAAGCATGATCTTAATTTTGTGATCGATCAGTGTTAAGATAAAATATTAAAATCGTTAAGAAACTTTTCTACTTCGATACATATCGAAGTATACAAAAATGGCGTCGGTAGACATTAACGATACATCGCAATAATTTATATTTAACTGTATTCTGATCGCGATTGAATATTTTCGAATGATATTTATTTAATTGATCATTTATATTTCTTTATGAATTATTGTAATTGCAATTTGCATATATATTTCGATGCAAGTTTCACAAAACGTAGTAACTTTCGTAGAATATGCTATTCGAGCATAAATAACTAGAGAGCTTTAATTCTTGCAAATTTCGGAATATTTATAAAAATTACGGGATATTCTAACGTTCGAGAAAATAAATCATGCTTACAACTCTAACTATGAAACTTGGTGATATAGTATTTATAAATTGAATAATTATTATCGTGAATAATATTTTGTCGTTGAAATTCTCATTGAGAATATTTCGCCTTCGTGGCATTGATATTTTAAGCGACAGACTCTGTGTACAGCAGTGCTAAGTAAAGCAGTGTTTCTGTTGACGAATTTTAGTAAGAAGAAAAAAGAAAAATCGATAGGCAAAGCACAGGCGTGCTTGTTGTGTTTCTTGTCTCCTGTCCCTTTTCTTTCAGCTGTTTTCTTTCCAGGAAATTTTGTTGGCCGAGCGCAATGCGGCCGGTAGAGTCAGTGATCGTGCGTAGCAAACAAGTTTGTTTCTCGGGGCAAAGTGACCCCGAGCTCGTTATCGTTCACGGTGTTAGACAAACGCGAGAATAGAAGCAGTGTTTTCTTACGCGGTATTAAATTACTTACAGAGCATCGTGGCTCTTCTGTTTTCTCAATCGCGATAGTAGAGTCATTTGTTCGCCGATTTCAATCCTCGGTCGCGAGTAATCTAACTTAATACTTTCCAATGAAATTAATTATTTTTTCAATTTGAAATTTAAACTCGTTACCGGAATTAGAGTCAGTGCATCATTGAAGAGGACTATTGAGCGATGCTCCACGAGCAAACAATGTAAATATAAATTTATACTTTGAAATTTTTAATTAAAAATCTCTTCAGTTTTAACGATAGATTCTAATTGTTTTCTTACAGTTT